TGATAAAGTAAAGAGTAGGAAATACTCTGGAATTAGTAGGTATAGGTAAGAACTTTCTCAATGGAACCCCAGCAGCACAGCAACTAAGAGATAGCATAGATAAATGGGACTTCATAAAACTAAAAAGCTTCTGCTCAACAAAAGAAATGGTCTCTAAACTGAAGAGAATACCCACAGAGTGGGAGAAAATATTTGCCAGCTATACATCAGACAAAGGACTGATAACCAGAATATAGAAGGAACTTAAAAAACTAAATTCTCCCAAAACTAATGAACCAATAAAGAAATGGGCACGTGAACTAAACAGAACTTTCTCAAAAGAAGAAATTCAAATGGCCAAAAAGCACATGAAAAAATGCTCACCATCTCTAGCAATAAAGAAAATGCAAATTAAAACCACACTAAGATTCCACCTCACCCCTATTAGAATAGCCATCATCAGCAACACCACCACCAACAGGTGTTGGCAAGGATGCAGGGACATTCCCACTGCTGGTGGGAATGTAAACTAGTACAACCACTCTGGAAAAAAATTTGGAGGTTACTTAAAAGCTAAACATTGGTCTACCATTTGATCCAGCAATACCACTCTTGGGGATATACCCAAAAGACTGTGACACAGGTTACTCCAGAGGCACCTGCACACGCATGTTTATTGCAGCACTATTCACAATAGCCAAGTTATGGAAACAGCAAAGATGCCCTACTACTGACGAATGGATTAAGAAAATGTGGTATCTATACACAATGGAATTTTATGCAGCCATGAAGAAGAACGAAATGTTATCATTCGCTGGTAAATGGATGGAATTGGAGAACATCATTCTGAGTGAGGTTAGCCTGGCCCAAAAGACCAAAAATCATATGTTCTCCCTCATATGAGGACATTAGATCAATATCAAACACAACGAGGGGATTGAACTTTGATCACAAGGTAAAAATGAGAGCACAGAAGGGAGATATGAAGATAGGTAAGACACCTAAAAAATTAGCTAGCATTTGTTGCCCTTAACACAGAGAAACTAAAGCAGATACCTTAAAAGCAACTGAGGCCAATAGGAAAAGGGGACCAGGAACTAGAGAAAAGGTTAGATCAAAAAGAATTAACCTAGAAGGTAACACACACGCACAGGAAATTAATGTGAGTCAACTCCCTGTATAGCTATCCTTATCTCAACTGGCAAAAACCCTTGTTCCTTCCTATTATTGCTTATACTCTCTCTTCAACAAAATTAGAAATAAGGGCAAAATAGTTTCTGCTGGGTATTGAGGGGGTTGGGGGGAGAGGGAGGGGGTGGAGTGGGTGGTAAGGGAGGGGGTGGAGACAGGGGGGAGAAATGACCCAAGCATTGTATGCACATATGAATAAAAAAAAAGATAATTTGATGATCATGCAAATAACAGTACTGGCTGGCACTTGGTTGCGAGAAAAGATACCCCTGTTCCCACAGCCCTACCACAGAGCCTTCTGGTAATGCATCTGGGTGGCTTCAGCTCAGTGGCTTTCTTTCCTTGCTCCCTCTTGGCCTCCACTCTTATCACATTGTGTTCTTTAAGTATTTGACGAAGGAAGGACACTATGTATCCTTGGGATCTAACTGTAGAGGATTACAGACTACTGGAGGTGGAATAAAATTTCCCAGAGGAAACTGAGACCTGGAAAGAGCAGGTGATTTTCTCAATGATTGTTCTGACAGTATTGGAGCTGATCCATCCTCTAGGCCCATACCTTTGGATTTTCAGAGCAGAGCAAAAATAGCCTTGTTAGAATAATCCTTCTGCTCTTTTAAAAATGAGAAAATGACTTTCTTGCTTATTAAATTGATGTATGTTTATTGTATAAAACTCAGCAACAAAGAAATGTAAGAAAAATATAAAAAAAAAATTAAAAAATTTGCCATCAAGTTAATAACTGTTAAAGTTCCTTCCTCTTTATTTTCATACAAATATACCCACCTGTCCCCTCCCCAAATATTATAGCAGTTAGAGTTCTGTCAAGAAATGGAAGGAATACCCAGTTTAGTTTTTGAAAATTATTAAGTAAAGGAACCATTTAGAGATTTTAACACAGAGAAACTAAAGCAGATACCTTAAAAGCAACTGAGGCCAATAGGAAAAGTGGACCAGGAACTAGAGAAAAGGTTAGATCAGGAAGAATTAACCTAGAAGGTAACACACATGCACAGGAAATCAATGTGAGTCAACTCCCTATATAGCTATCCTTATCTCAACTAGCAAAAACCCTTGTTCCTTCCTATTATTGCTTATACTCTCTCTTCAACAAAATCAGAGATAAGGGCAAAATAGTTTCTGCCGGGTATTGAGGGGGTGGAAGGGAGAGGGAGGGGGTGGGGTGGGTGGTAAGGGAGGGGGGAGGGGGGAGAAATGAAACAAACATTGTATGCACATATGAATTAAAAAAAAATAAAAAGGAGCATTAAGTCACTCAGGAACTAGCCACAGTGGGTAGGGGAAGAAAAACCTCCATAATGAAGCTCAGGAAGAGCCAGAGTACTGGCCCCCAGAGGCATAAGAATGGAGGATGTGGGAAGAGAGTTAACCAGCTCTTCCCCTTCCTCATGAGAGCTGAGGGAACTCCCTAACTCTGTTTCCTGGGAATTTGATAAAAGTTGGAATGCACCAAGGTGGGGAGGCAACTTTGTTTATGCTAAAAATGACCTCTGGGGTTGGGAGAATCCTAAAGACCTCACGGGCTCCCTGTGTGTCTGTAATTCCAGCACCCACATTGGATTTCATTTTTTGAATTAAAGTACAGACATTAAACACTGTGGCGGCTTCTGAGTAGTATATATTAATTTCTGGACATTTCATATAAATGGAATCATATAATATGAGGTCTTTTATTCATTTAGAATAATTCAAGGTGCATCCAAATTATGTTATTTACCAGTACTTCATTCCTTTATTGTTCATTACATAAAGTGATGCGTTCATTGTGACCTGCTTCACTCTTTTTTATTGTTGAATTAGCATTCCCTTGTATGGAGACATCGAAGTGTATTTATCTATTCATCAGGTGATGGACATTTGGGTTGCTTTCACTTTTGACTATTATGAATAACACTGCTATGACCATTTATTTACAAACACGTATTCGTGATAATAGTTTAGTCTCTGGATGCTTCAGTTTGTGTTGGGATACAGAATGTCACTGTCTAGGAAGTGACTGTGTGGCACATGCAATAAAGGAACACGAAGCATGGCTGAGAGAAAAATACAATCTTCCTGACTGTGCCAGGCAATACTGACAGTAGATATATTCTTGAGCTGTGTTCAGAGTAGGTTGGAGTCTGCGCAGGGAGTTGGAGGGTGGTGGTGTGGAGTGGTGGAGAGCGAGCAGTATGAAATGTGGCTGGGGTTTTCAATCTGAGACCTAAGCAGTGGGAGATGAGATGGAAGGGACAGACAGGTCCCAGACCAGAACTACTTGGTACCTTGTTCTGGGGCTTCTCTGCAGAGGGTGAATGAATGGGGTGACTGGTAGCATTGAGAGAAGTCAGGAGGCTCATGCAGTAACTTAAGTCACTAAATCAAATAACTCCGCTTCAGGTTGTCAGTCCTTAGCTCTCCTTGGGAATCAGAATCTCTTGGATGGAAGGTGGGCATTTGCATTCTGTCGTAGGCTCTGTGGAGGATTCTGAGACACACTGGAGCTTGACAATACAGGTGAACCCTGGTGAGGTCTGAACTAAAGCAGTGGGAAAGAATGAATGCCTTGATTAGAGAGGTGTTGGAACTTAGGTTGGCGAGCATTCCTGGTGATCAACAGGGGTAGGAATGAGAGAGGGGGAGGATTCTGTTCCCACAAATGCAATTAGAAATGTTGTTCATGTCGGTTTCCTGTGTGGCAGCATGGAATGGGAGATTTGTGGGAGAGAAGAGAGAGGAAATTTAGTTTTAGTTATAGGATTGACTTACTGTCAAGAAATACCCATTTAACATACATGAGTTTATGGGTCATTTCAGTGTGAGATTTGCATATGTTCTCAAAATGTATCTTAATAAGATTTACCCCCTCCCTTATTCTCCCTCTTCTGTTTTCCCCCTTTCTTAGATCTGTTTCAACAGGTTTCATTATTTTCATATGTGTATACAAAGCATATCCACCATGTTTGCCCTCCTTCACCTCTCTGCTTACCATCCCACTCCTACTGGTACCCACACCTGGACAGGACCTATTTTACCTTACTGTCATTCATTTTTTAAAGTGCATATTGATTGTTCAAGGGAGGTTTGCCGTGGTAAGAAATACCCATTTTATCACTTAGAACTACTATTTTTGATCAAGTATGATTCTTCAATACCAATATTATTTGTAGCAATGAGTTATCTTCTTTATAAAGCTTATATACTCTTTTCAAAGGACATATTCAGGTCATGTTTCTTAGGCACTAAGCACTAATCTTTGTTGCATATTTGTGTTATGATGACTTTTAGGCTAGGACTCATCATTCTTACCAATTTATAGGTGATGAAAATGAAGCAGGAGAAGTCAGTTCATTTCTGTAAGGTCATTTTAGTCAGGAGCCAGGGGGCACCAAGATTCAAAACTCATGACATTGCTAAGGCCAGGTTTTCCATTATGTTTCTACTGCTTCTAACAACATGGATAAGCAGGTTTAAAAATTACTTATATTTGATGAACTTGAAGTCCAGAGAAACTTTAGTTTGTCTAAGGGCTCAAGCTGGTAAGTATCAGATCAGGACCAGAACTTAGGTCTCTCCCTACCCCTGGTCTTTTCATTATATCTTCCTGCTTTCCTGATGATTCCAGAAGTTGAGCTTATTCCCCTACTTTCTTTCTTCTGTGCGGTTGGACTTTTACTCCCTTAAATAGGGCAATTTAAAAGAATTATAAATGCAGTTTTGAAGGGAAGGATCGAGAAGCACAGTGGATCCTCAAGGCACAAGTGCTTTGGAGGGTTTTGTGACATTGGCACATTGCCAGCCTGGGAATGACTTTTTTTTTTTTTAATTAGAATCCTGACCTTAATGATGAAAGAAATATGGAAATAACTCCAGGAGAAAAGGTGCTTCGGAACACCAAAGAGCAACGGGATCAGCAAACCCGACTGAGAGAGATAGACGAAAAGCTGAGAAAGATTAAGGAAAATGTGGTAGGCCTTTTCTATTTAAAATCTAATTGTAGCTAATAATTGTACTAAAAAGTCAATGTTTCTTTTGACGGTGTTATGACTGTTCTTATGTATTATTCAGACATGCAAATTTGTTATTAAGAATTTAAGTAAAAGCTAGCCAAGTGCAGGTGGCTCACATCTTTAATCCTAGCTACTTGGGAGCTGAGATCAGAAGGATCATGGCTCAAGGCCAATCTGTACAAAAAGTTGAAGAGACCCCATCTCAACCAATAGTTGGGTGCAATGGTGTGTGTCTGCATCCCAGTGATGGTGGAAAGCTTCAAATGGGAAGATTTTGATCCAGGAAGGCCTGGGCAAAAAGCAAACCCTTCTCCTCAAAATAACAGAGCAAAAAATAGATTGGAGCAATGGCTCAAGTGATAGAGCTGAGCGCCTATCCAGAAGGGCAAAGTTCTGAGTTGAAACCCCAGTATTGAGGGGGAAAAAGAATTTAAGGAAAAGCTAAGGATATGATTCAAAGGACTTAAATGGTATTATATTATCTAATGTATATAACATAATAATATTTTATGTAATTTATATAACATAATAATCCTATAAAATACTATCTGAAATCAGAATAATAATCCATAATTCTAGTGGTCTGTGTCCAACAGTGACACAAATATTCTTTTTTTGTGGAAAAATTTGGTAGTTCTTCATGAAAACATTTTTATATATTGAGTTTATAGCTTAAATATTCCCACTTTTTGTTTATAATTAAGGATATGTTAACCATTAACTAGTTTTAATACATTCTAAATCCTTTTGAACCTGCTATATGTTTTCTTGTTCACAATTTGAAGACATATCATTATTGATGAGAGAAAGCTCATAGCAATTGACTTAAATGGTCTATTGAAAGTTACTTTTGGAAGTTGAGTGACATTTTTAGGAGTATGGAAGATTGTCTTTTATATTTAAAAAGTAGTTTACTGCCTACAATATGGTTTCTGAATAATAGCTTCTGGAAATGACTTACTCTCTAGCTTACTCTTGTCCTGCAGTGGAACATCATTTCAGAAGGTGATGTGTGATCACAGAATTTGGTGATTTAAAGACCAAATTCATGTCAGTCATAGGGATGGGAAAGAAGGGGCTAAGAGAAATCTAGGAGCCCTGCAGGCTCCTCCTGGAGATGCAGGAGTGATTTGTGAATAAGGCTGGAAAAGTGACTTGATTCTGTTTCTGATGGTAGGCTGCACCTATTGATGTCTTGATGATTGTCTTGGTCAAGATTGGTCCAAGAAGTGCGGTTCGGTTCATTCTGTAGGTGGTGGTATTGTGTCTACCAATGAGTTTTAGCGATTAGGAGCGAGGGGAAGCAGACACAATGAAGTGAGGTTGAAGCCCACAAACCTGATGTGAGATTCAACAGGCCCACAGGCCTGTAAAGCAGCAAGATAGTGCAACCCTCATGGACAGCCTCTCCATCATTTGTCACACATATGGCACCTCTAATCCCTGATTTTTTCCATCCAGCTCAGAAAGTTGCTCTCTATTTTGGGGGCTTCTCTGTTCATTCTTCTAGCCCCACTTTTTTTGCTGTATATTATTCCCCTGAGTTATAATCCTGTTATGTAAGGTTCTATACATGGACATTAAGAGTCAGAATGCTACCACCTCAAAAAATTGTTTATGGAGCTCAGAACTTGGCAAATCAAGTATCCATCACAGTTTTATTTTGAAAAGAGTGCTACAACTTACATAGTTTTTCTTTCTCTATAAAAAAAGAGCAGAATTCTTGGGTTTGAACTCAATTTTGCCTTTACTAGCTCTGTGGCCTTGGGCAGGCCACCTGATCACTCTGTGCTTCAGCTCCCAGGTCGATATCATGTTATGATCAAATTTGTATATGTGTTGCTTAGAGCATGCTTGCAACATTTTAAGTGCTGCATACCTATTGTTCTAGTTCTTGTTATCACTGATATTTTTATATAAGCTATTTCTAAGATGAGGAGAGGAGGACGTAGTATAGAGGGTGAAATTGAAGATGGAGGGGCGATAGCTGGAAAAGAACCAAGAGGTCCATTTCTTGACTCGGGGAAAGAATGGCAGGGTAGGCCCAGAAAGGCACGTCTAGAAATGAAGAGAAAGCAAGAAGCTTGCTCTGTACATTAGAGGTCAGGCTATGTGACTAGAGTGAGAGGGTAGAGTGGGGTAGAAGAAGGGAGGAAAGGCATGGGATAGACCCTGTCAGGATGAGAACAGTGTGCTGGTGAGAATGAAGACAGCCCTGCCAAGGGACTAGTCCCAGCTATGATGAGGAAATGGAGACAGTGGATGGTGGGTCCAGGCAGGGTGAGGAGAGGCTGCGTGATTGTAATTAAAGGTCATGTGCATGGAAGCCACACTAGGAATCTCTCTGTATACCTATCTTTTTTTCAAGCTAGCAAAAATGCTATGTCTTTCTTATTATCTCTTATGTGTTCTCCTCAACAAAATTGGAAAAGAAGAGGGTAGAACAGGTTCTGCCTGGAAGTGGGGGGGGGGGCAGTGAGAAATGGCCCAAACAATGTATGCACATATGAATAAATGAATAAACAATGAAAAGTGTTTTTAAACTCTAGAAAAAAAATATCAAAGGGGCAAATGGGGATCCCTGTGATTTCATAACTGAAAAAAAAAAGAAACAAATGTGACATGTGTACCTCAGATACCAGCCCCTTTGCTTTGTTTTGACCCAGTCTCATAACTTACAGTATCTACACAGCACAGAATGGCACGCAGCCATCAAAAGAATGCGGTATATCTACCTATCCATCTTGAAAAGGAGAAAGATCCTGTGTATAAGACAGTGGTCAGTGTGATTACACTAAAAAGTCATGGACAGCTGGGTGTGGTGGCTTATGCTTATAATCCCAGGTACTTGGGAGGTGGCCTGGGTATAAATGCAAGAGCCTGTTTGAAACACAACGAAAGCAGAAAAGGCTGGGAGTTCAAGTGATGGAGCACCTGCATGGCTAACAAGGGCTCCAAGAAAAAAAAAAAAAAGTTATTGAAAAATCTGGAAGGAGGTAGACCAAATATTTAATAGTGATTACTTTTAGTGAGGATGAGGGTGGAAAGAGAGGGAAAAAGGAAATTCAGGTTTTATAACAATAAAAATACAGTATTTAAAGGGAAAAGTGTTTTGGGATTATGGGTTATTTTTATGTTCTTTCTTGTGGTTTTCTCTATTTCCCTGATTTCTGAGATATACAAGTGTTGCATTTGTAAACAAAAATTAATGCTTATTAATATTAATTTGTATTGATACATACAGATGACCATTACTTATTGTCTCTCAATAAGTGATCTTCAAACATGTAGAAAAAGTATGAGTCATCCCAAGGGTAATGTTCAGCTTTACGAGAAATTATGATTGATATTCAGACAACGTTCAGGCACTATGTCCACATGTCAGACCAGCAAGAGTAGCAACGTGACACTTGTGTGTTAGCAGGAGCAGTGTGGATATGGGCGGCAGTGGTATTTGAACAAACTCCTAAAATTGGTTATAGTTCCCCTAAAAACAATTGATTAATGAATAAGATGGTGACTGTAATATTATTTCTGTTTTACCTATATTGTTCTAATTTTAAAAATCTTCCCCAAAAATAACACCCAACCAAAACCAAGGCAGATAACTTAAATGCTCTCACATAAATGAAGAGCAGAACAACTTACACAATATTGGTACAATTAATAGTATAGTAGGACAATAAAAATGATATGTACGTGGACTTTGTCACTGTAGGACTGGTAACTGGAACCAAATGATACAAAACAGAACAATAGAAATGTAAGGTAGATTTTATCGACTATATGTAACATGTGCACACACTAGAACACATACATGTGTTAATAGCTTTTACCCTTATTAGATTATTTTCTACTTTCTGTTAATTTGTCTTTTTTCCTAAAGAAAGGGAGTCATAATTGAGGACACTTAATAATTTCGCTGTTTTATCTAAGTGGTTAAATGATAGACTTTTGAACAATTTAAATAAATAATAGCAATTTGTTTTGTTTAATTTTCCTGAAGTATTGAGTGTTCCACTGTGATAATAAGGATTCTTGTTTTGTTTTTTTTTTTCTTAAATAACATCTTTAACTTCTAGGGTAAGGTAAAAATCCCTTCAATGTAGTTGTATAATCTACCTTTCACAAATCAAAGCAATTCAATTCTTTATTCAATTCTTTATTAATGATGAAGGGCTCACTGACCTATGAATGATGAAGTGCTCTTGAAGATGGTTTGTCAGCATTGTTAGGAAAAGCTTTCTGCGGTTCCAGTGGTTCCAAGTGCATCGACCACACTTTCTAGTCTTTATTGTGTCCCCATTCACTGTTTTCATCACTTGAAGTCTCTACTGTTTCTCCACACGTTCTTCCCCTGTGTGGTTTCCTGGAAACCACAGAGCTTGGGCTTGTTTGGTGAGCTGCATTATCATAGTTTCAGAGCATTCAGCACCTGAGCCCTGTTGCAAGCAGTGAGGACAGGAATGTGGCTCTCGAAGGATGGTAAATCCTGTGCCCTTATTCTTTACTTGACATCTCTGTCACTTTAACCTGACATAAGAATATATAGACCCTGGTCAGAAGAGTAGGGCATTTCTCCTTCTCAGAGAATGGAAGAGGGTCTACCTCCAGTTCTTAAATACACTATAGAATCAATTCTAGAATGTGAGAGCTGAAGGGGCTTGGTCACGTGAGCCAGTTCCAGGGATTAGAAACCAAAGTGCTGAATAGCTAAATGGTTTTTTCAAAAACTCACAAATAGTTATAGTAGACTTGTACCAATCCTCAGTGCTTCTGACACCTCAATCTGCAAATTTTTTCACTAAATCCAAACTCCCGAAATCGTATCTGTGTAGTTCAGCTAATTTTCAGCTAGGATTTGTGGTCACCCAAAATGTGGGTTTCATTCTAAAACCTTTAAGCTGTTACTTAACCAGATAAACATCTTTTCCAAATGTAGCAGACCTCTAAACAAT